AGAGTACTACTAATTATTCCTTATATCCGTTCGCATATTTATTTATCTTTATATATAGGGGTATATACACCAATTTTGTTTGTTTTTCCTCCAATCAAATACAAATAATACAAAATGCAACACTCACTGCAACGGAAAATGATATATATTGATAGTGGTTTTGCTCTTACATTTTAGATAATTCTCAATTAATTTTTTTATTCAAAAAGTTAATACTTTGTTCTAACTTAACGTATAAACAAAACTATTTGCGTTTGACCCTGGATACGCTATAGAAACACGAGGCGAGTTTTCTGCATTTGACATTATTTATCATGAAATTATATATGGAAACAGTTGAGAGCCGTACCTCTAATCCTCTTATATCAGTATATTTCATTGTCGTAAAGTCCATGCATGGTTGCATAATACACTTTAATCTTCTTTATATGTCATACTAGCAGTTGACCCGCGCTGTGCGCGGGAGGTTTATAATTTTTTTGTTAACTTTTTATTCATATTGTGATATTTTATTTATTTTTAATTGATTTTCAAAACATATTATAGTTATTTTCTCTTGAATTATTATCTTTCAGTATTTAAATTTGGATTAAAAGCATTTTCTTATTGATCATGTTATAAACTAATATTTCACTTTCAATTTTATTTTTTCCCTTTAAAATTTATATATACAATTACATAAATGTTGTTTTTATTCTACCATAAATTTAAAATTTACTTACATTCTTAAACTCAGTAACACATTTAAAATTTTAAACTATCATCAATTTAAAATGAAAGTTGAATTATATTAATACCACTAACTAATAAAAAATGAAAATATTTCTTATTTAACATTTCATTTATTTACATAATTTATTTTAATATATATAAATTTTCTATTAATTAAATAAGTAGCATAAATATGCACTAAATGAATGTTTTAAATTTATTTTAATGTAAAAAATGTGGCTTAGGTGGATGTTTAGGTGGCATTTTAGAGAGAAAAAACTAACTTTATATATATAGATGAGTATATTTCATTGTCTTAAAGTCCATGCATGGTTGCATAAACTTTATCCCAAAATTCCATGATCTTCACACGGACCAAAAGAAAAGAAAGAAAACCTTAAGAAGAGTTTACCAAAAACTCGAACCACATTAAAAAAAAAATCAGATACTAGTCGCTAGTCAAATATTACAGTTGGAAGTTTCATTTAGACTATGAGTTTCCTAGTTCGTTTCTAATACACATAGAAAAATAAAATTTGTATACGAATTCTCCTCTTCGTTATATTTAAAAGTAATGGTACAACAACAAGTGATCCAGCTTCATCTCTTTATCCAAAAATGCTATTTCCCATCACATATAAGAACACCAAAAAAAAGAATTTTAAAAGTGTAATAACTAAATAATCTTAAAAGTGTAACAGATCACGAGCGTGTGGGCGAGATAAGAATAGAGAGACACCTAAGCAAAAAAAAAGATATTTGAGAAAAGCCACGTCAGTAATCATCAAAAAGGGTTACGGTGCAAGGCCCACCTCCTCGCCAACGTCGTCTATATAAACCACAAAAATGTTCCAAAAGCCTTCCTTCTTCAAACCCATCCACACGACACATATCTCTCTAATGGAAGCTGTTCTTGTCGCCATGTCCACAAAAGAAGACGACTTATGTTCGTTAACCACCGATAAACTTTCATATGATCTAACGACGATGACTTCGGACGTTGAGATCGTTACTTCCGGTAACCGCCGTATCCCGGCACATTCCGGCGTTCTGGTAAGTTCTATTATCTGGTTTTTGGTTTAATTCTTTTCCGGTTTGGTTTGTTTTGGTTTGGTTTAGCTGAGATTTTGTGGAAAATGCAGGCTGCGGCTTCACCTGTACTGATGAACATTATCAAGAAACCGGTGAAACGTTACAGAGGCTGTGGATCCAAGAGAGTCATCAAGATTCTCGGCGTTCCATGCGACGCCGTTTCCGTTTTTATCGAGTTCCTCTACTCTTCTAGGTTCGTTTGTTTCTTCTTCTTGAATTTTTTCAAATGTTGAACATTCTTGATTAAATATTAATATTTTGTAAAAGAACGTGAACGTTTTATACTTTTTACACACGGATTTGAAATAATCAACGGCTAATTAAGTAATTACTATACTCTTTTAAATCAACTAGCTGTCAGAAAATGACTAAAACACCCTTTTTGTCTCTCTCTTGTGTTTTCAGTTTGACGGAGGATGAGATGGAGAGATATGGAATCCATCTTTTAGCTTTGTCTCATGTCTACATGGTGCCGGAGCTGAAGCAACGTTGCTCAAAAGGCGTTGTACAGCGGCTAACGACTGAGAACGTAGTCGACGTTCTCCAGCTGGCTCGGCTCTGCGACGCACCCGATGTTTGCCTTCGATCTATGCGTCTGATACATTCGCAGTTTAAGAACGTTGAGGCAACTGAAGGTTGGAAGTTTCTTCAAGAACATGATCCTTTCCTTGAGCTCGACGTTCTCCAGTTCATCGATGACGCCGAATCGGTAAAAAAAAACACAGAACCTCTGTTTTTCCTCTGTTTATGTTATTACCAAAGGGACAATAGTTTAGTTTTACTATTCCGTTTGGTGTTAGTTAAAAAAAATCTGGTTATTTAGTTTGGTACATAATTTTAGATTATTTAATTAACTCATGTTTGATTAAATTTGGTTTATAAACCTAATTAACCCTAAAAATTATTTGGTCGATCTTGTTTCTGATATTGTGTGTTGGATGATAATTTAATGACAGAGGAAAAAAAGAAGACGACGACACAGAAAAGAGCAGGATCTATACATGCAACTAAGCGAGGCAATGGAGTGTATAGAGCACATATGCACCCAAGGTTGTACGTTGGTCGGTCCATCAAACGTGGTAGGCAACAACAACAACAAGTCAACGATGGTTGCGGAGAAGTCGAAGCCTTGTAAGGCGTTTTCCACGTGTTATGGTCTACAGCTTTTGATACGTCACTTTGCTGTATGCAAGAAGAGGAGTAACGACAAAGGTTGTCTTCGTTGCAAGCGGATGCTTCAACTCTTTAGACTCCATTCTTCTGTTTGTGATCAACCTGAGACTTGTCGCGTCCCTCTTTGCAGGTATGCCCTAAAGATTTTTATTTTCTTTATAATGTTTTTAAAACCAATGTTTTGTTGTTATTAAGAAAAAAAATTTTGGTTTATGTTGACACTTTTGTGATGATGACCCATCTTTGAAAAAGTTGCAATTTGCTATGAGAATTGATTATGGGTCGTAATCCGACGGCTGCAATTTTTTTGGAACTTCTTGAAATTTGTAGATATTTATTTTTCTTTCTTTCTTTTATTGGATTTTCGAAATTTGTAGATATTTTTGAATCTCATTGTCATTTTCAACTCTTTTAATTTGGGAGCAGGCAATTCAAGAAAAGGGGAGAGCAAGACAAGAAGATGGGTGCAGACACCAAGTGGAAGCTTCTTGTCACAAGAGTTGTGACTGCCAAAGCTATGTCTTCGTTATGTCAGTCAAAGAAGAACAAATGTGAAGAGGAAGCAGAACATTTAATCAAAACAAAGGAGCTAGCGAGATTTGTAGATTAGTGATTAAGAAGCTTTCTTGTAATCGTATTTGTTAGTTTTGATTATTTTTGTAGTATAAATGGTTAGGGGAACAATCAAGGCGTATACAATCATATACGTACTCTTTGATCAGTTTAAGAGGGTTTAGTAATTTGTATGTGAGTAAAGCCTTTAAACTTGGCTACATTGATTTGTTCATTTCTATCTCATGTTGTCATCATATAATAATCAATGTTCTTGAATTTAGAGAGTAATTTTTATGATTTATGATTTATAGTGTTTTATGAGAGTTACAAGAGGTGTTTGTAACTTAATTGAAACTTTGATTTTTCCGCAAAGCATATATCTTGGCCAACATTACAAGAACATAAAAAATGGTCTCAATTGAAGATGATGACACTTAAAGTAAAACCCCATAAGATATGATCTCAATCCACAAAATAATAAACTCTGTTTCAGATCACCATAAAAATCGATGAAAATTACCAAGTACCTAAAGTTCATCTTTAACATTTTCATGAGCTACTGACTCATGAGTAGAAGGCGTAGAGGAGAGCTTGGTGGGATAAGAAGCTTCCATGGCTATACCGCAACGTCCTTCATTCTCAGGTATTCCTCTTTCTATCCGAACATAGCCTTCTTCTCCCCATTCAGGTCCCCATGAGTTCCTTACTATCCAATATTTTGTTCCATTTTTGGTCTCTCCATATCCGACAATCGCCACCCCGTGGTTTAACTGAGTCCCGCATTCTCCGGTAAACACACCCTACAATCGAATGCATGCACGCTTAAGACCATAGATCTCTATACATACTACTAGACAAGTTGATATAAAGGAGAGTAATATAGAGGGGCCTTAAATGTAATTATATAATCATTAAACCCTATGGTTTAGTCCTATAAATATGTCTTGTAAATCATCTTAATGAAATAACACAGTGATACTTTACATGGTATCAGAGCAGTGCTATCCTAAAAAGACCTAAAATTTTTTTTACGGCCGCCTCTTCTCTCTTCCTCTTCTTCTTCTTCTTCTCTTTCTTCCTCTTCACGCTTCTTCATTTACGGCCATGTCGTCTTCCTCAGAAGTTGTTGCCACCGTTGATGCAACTGCACTTCTCAATATTAATATGTCCAATGTTACGAAGCTCACTTCCACAAACTTTCTGATGTGGAAACGTCAAGTTCATGCCTTGTGCAATGGCTATGACCTCGCTGGATATCTCGATGGATCGACTGGTGTACCTAACGCCACGGTTATCTCCGACGGTGTAACCACTCCCAACCCAGCTTACAAACATTGGAAACGACAGGATCAACTCATATTTTCGAGTCTCTTAGGCACCATTTCGGTTGCGGTGCAACCCGTTTTGTCCAAGGCTAACACAACGGCCGAGATTTGGACTACACTCACCGACACTTACGCTAATCCCAGCCGTGGTCACATTCAACAGTTGCGTACTCAACTCAAACATTGGAAGAAAGGTACGAAAACGATTGATGAATACTTCCTCGGATTCACTACGCGTTTCGATCAATTGGCGTTGCTTGAGAGTCCGATTGCTCATGAAGATCAGATTGACTACATCCTCGGCGGACTGTCTGACGAGTATAAGCAAGTTCACGACCAAGTTGAAGGTCGTGACACTCCACCATCGCTCACGGTGCTTCATGAGAAGCTGATTAACCATGAGCTGAAGCTTCAGACCCTACTTGCTGCTGCGTCTCCATCTGTGCCTGCTTCCGCTAATGTTGTAGCCCACAAAAACTCGGGACATAACAACAATCGCAACAACTACAATACCAATAATCGCTCTCGTGGAAATCAGTCACAACAACCGCAACACTACCAGTCGCGTTCCGACAGCCGGTCTCAAGGTCGGGGATACCAAGGTCGATGTCAAATCTGTGGGGTACAAGGTCATAGTGCCCGTTGGCATTATGTTGCTTTAATATTATACTGAAGTTAATCATAGTAATGTGATTAGTGATATTTAACAAAAGGGCTATTCTAGTTAAATAAAAGTTTACCTCAGAGTAAAGCTGGAAATCTGAGCTCCCAGCATCAATGGCTACAGAGACAGGTTGGTGGGCAACAGCTTTGAGAAGTGCTTCTTCATCATTCTCAGGGACGTGTTCGTGTCCATCGATCGTTACAATGTCTCCATCAACATACTTAGCTCTGCATAGCTCGACGTCATTGAATTCGTAAGGATAAGTCTCCTCTGGTTTGATGCCACCTTTGTTCTTGATGAATTCAAACGCAGGTTCCATGAGACCTCCTGCGCAACCTTGATTCTCTTCAGTGTCACAATCAACGAGCTCTTGTTCAGACAATGAAACTAGTTTGTTTGTTCTGATCTTGTTTATCCCTTCTACTGCTGCAACTGTCGAAAATGCCCAGCAACTTCCTGGAAAGGTTTAGAAATAATCTCAATCCAATTAGAAACAGAGCAAAAAAAAAAGAAAAAAAGAAAACAGAGTATAAAAACAGAGCAGTAGAGACTAATTGATTTAGATGTTCATAAAGTTTCAAGAAATCAAAATTCAACTATAAAGATTTCTTGATTCGAACAGAACACAATAATCATTTAATCTCATAAGGATCTCCTAGTTACCACAATCTTGTTGATTCTTGACTTTAGTGACAGCCCCTTTTTCTCTCCAATCAACAGAACTCGGAACAATGGTCACATTCTCATACATGAAACCACCAGATCCACGCTTTGGACCACGGAGCATCCGGTGATGCTTAACATTAGAGCCAGCGTATGAGTTTCTAAACTCGTGGTGAGTTATGTCGGCGAATCTGTTGATCTTTAGTTTGTAAGGCTTGTTCTTCTTGTTAGTTTTGTGGACATGGAGCACATTGTGTCTAAACACGTTGAACCGCTTGAGTGCCTCATGGGAGGCTCTGGATACAGAGTGGTGCCCTCTCCATCTTTCGTAGAGCTTCCATACACTCTCTTCGGTCTCTAACTCCTTTTCATCGAAATCGAATCCTTGAGATGCTTGGAAGAGGAAGATAAAAGAGAGAACAATATAGGAAAGTTTCATTTCTTGAGTTTCTCCTTGTTGGGTTTTTTTTGGTATCTAGTTTATAATGATGATATATGAAATGATTAGAGATGGGAAAATAAATATATTAAATCCTTGGAATATTGACTGATTGCACTATTTTTTAATTTAAAAGTACAATTATTGACATGATACATACATCATTTGTTTCCTCAAGGACATTAACTAACTAGAATGAATTAGACTCAGTCCGATCCAAATCGCACAAAAATTGGCATGGTTGATTTTACGTAGTCTATATAGGACCTAACCACAGAATCCGTACGTAGTAATCAAACTCATAACATCATCAAATTGTAAATAATCTTTCCAAAAGCATAACTTGCATTGTAGGTTTCTTATAACATTCAATTTATCGATATAACTAGTTCAGTACGGTTGAGTCAGCTGCTTGACCGCATATTAAGTTGGTTTATGTCAGTATGATTATGTTTCCAAGTTACGACACATAGAGTTTCGTCGAAGCAAAAGTAATCATCAGTAAATTACTCTTGCGTTTTAGTTCTCACCACGAGAATCATTAAAGCTTATCTTTGTGTCTCAATGTATATCATAATTATGAATACATGTGTCTGCGTTATGTACGTGAGATCGACTAAATGAGAAAGTAGGGTGAAGAGATCGTGCGAGGGGCAAAAGCAAGAACGAATACGTTTCCATAAAACACGTGAAACGCGAAAAACTTTCTGTTATATATTAAAACTTTTTGATACTAGAATTTAGATTTGGTAGAAAGTAGAAACAGTTGAAAAGTATTTTTATTAAAAACAAAAAAAACAAAAAAGATAGAAATACGATAGACACGTCCATTCCCATTTCCCATAGATTTAAATGGTAAAGATAAGATGGATAGAGTCCTCTTCATTAAATTATACTATACTATAGACGGAAGTTTTTATATTCAAAGTAATGCAAAAGCAAGTTAGCTTGACTCCACGTTAGTTCATGTTATAAGTCGCCAAGTAGCCAAGTAGGTCGTGTTTTTATGATCATCATGAGTTATGCTTATATAATCAAGTTGTCTCTTCTGCATTTCTATGTCGTGAGCTAGTGCTTGACCAACTATATATATTATTTTATTTTTTTTTGTCGCCGGCTTGACCAACTATATTATCTTCTAAAACTACTACGTAGGATATATGTATGACAGTATGAGTTAAACTAACAATCTCGTATGATGCGGTACGGTGTAATCATTTACACAATCCCATCACGTTGTCTCTTATTATAACCATAAATACGTTCTCTATTTACCTCAAATGTAACAAGAATAGAAAAAAACGAGAAATTCTTATTCAAATCCACAAGGCAAACATAAATATCAAATCATGAAGACAAAACTAACAACATGAATCGACAAGAAATTGGGATCAACCATGGTTTTACACACAATGTGGCCACACATATCTAGAGCTCATCTTTGACATCATCGTCATTCGGGGAAGGATTAGAAGACGATAGCTTGATCGGATATGATGCTTCCATCGCAATACCGCAACGCCCTTCAGAATCATCAATGTCTCTCTCAATCTTTATATAGCCTCCCTCTCCCCATTCAGCTCCCCATGAGTTTCTCACTATCCAATACTTTTTCCCATTCGAGTCTGATCCGTACCCGACAGCTGCCACACCGTGGTTCAACTCTGTTCCACAATATCCCGTAAACACTCCCTACAACACGTTACCAAACGTTATATACAAGTAATAATACTACATGGCATATATATATACGGCTTGGAGTTAAATTGTTTTACGCTTCGGATCAAATCTTAAAGCTTAGGGCATGGGCATCTCTAGGACCGGTTTTAGTCCCAAATTTTTTTTTTCTTTTTTTTTTTCTTTTTTCAGATAAGAAAAAAAAAAGTAATCAATCGCGGGCCGCCACGTGTCAGTGGGGCCCGCGAATGGAAGAGGGACGGTCTCGTTTAAAAAACGACCCACAAATTTCTTTTTTTTTTTTAGTTTTTTTTTGTCAAAAAAGCTGGGGGACTGCCCATAGGACATGCAATGCCCATGGTCTTATAGTAGCTTATTATGTTAAAGGTATGAATTTTTTAGTATAAGATAACGCGATTTTGTTAGCTTTTTGTTTACCTCGGAATAAAACTGGAAATCTGAACTTCCAGCATCAATTGCAACAGATACAGGTTGGTTCGCAACGGCCTTACGAAGAGCATTTTCGTCGTTTTCGGGTACATTTTCATGCCCGTCTATCGTTACAAGCACTCCATTATCTTTTGAAGCGTCACATTTTCCATCAATAGCTTCGTAGGGATAGCTATCTTCGGTTGTGATTCCACCGTTCTTCTTGATGAACTCAAATGCAATCTCCATAAGTCCTCCATTACAACCTTCATTCTGGTTTGTATCACAATCCACTAGTTCTTGTTCTGACAGTGAGACCAGCTTTTTCGTCTTGATCTGGTTGATTCCCTCAACGGCTGCTACGGTAGAAAATGCCCAACAACTTCCTGATGATTTATTCAGCAAGTCATGTTAAAATTATATTTAAATACATTGTAACATCACTTCTAGAATTTCTTACTAATGGACTATATATTGCTTTATATACTTACCACATTTGCCTTGGTTCTTGATTTCAGTGACAGCACCTTTCTCTCTCCAATCTACAGAGGGCGGAACTCGGGATGCATTCTCATACATGAACTGTTTGGAGCCGCGTTTAGGTCCTTGCAACATCCTGTGGTGCTTGATGTTTGAACCGGTGTAGGCATTCTTGAACTCATGTATAGTTAAATCTGCAAACTTGTTGAGCTTAAGTTTGTAGGATTTGTTCTTCTTGTTGGTGTTGTGAACATGCATCACGTTGTGTCTGAAGACGTTGAATCTCTTCTCCCTTTCATGGAGACTCCTAGGAACAGAATGGTGGCTCCTCCATCTGTCATAAAGCTTTGATAAGCCCTCTTCACTCTCTATTTCCTTGTCTTGGTAATCGAATCCACAAGCAGTTTGGAGAATGACAAGAGATAAGAGGAATATCAAAAGGAGCTTCTTCATTGTGTTTTTTTGTTGTTGTTTGATTATTTGGTGTCAGGTTGAGAGTTCAATGAAATGGTGTCGGAAATATATAGGCACAGAGAAATATTTTTCTTTTGAGACTTGGAATGACTCAAATACCATGGACGTTTTAAAATGAATCAATTATTGTGTATACGTCTTGGTTAGACTTGTGGAACGCTTTTAGGACACGCTTCTAAGAGGATTAAGGAACCCATCATAAGTGTAATTTTTAAAAAATAGTTTAAAATACTATCATAAGATATATTTTTAATTTCTGATTTTATAAATTTCATGCTTGTATGTACATGTGTGTGTAGTGTGTTCTGTTACTCAACGTTTGTATACATATCATATGAATGTTCGAATTTGTTGACTTAAAAATAATGAATAATTTTGGCTTTCATCGTTCGGATGATAATGATATTGATATTTGTCATGGTTGATGGATAGTTTTATACAATAATGGGAAAAATAGAGGAAGCAACAAGTTGCTTAGGAAACTAATGAAAGCAATAATTCGATTAAGATATGTCCCCAAAAATGTGGTGACAAATCTGTTCACACCATGGCATTGTTGACCTAATGCCTTGTACAATAAAACTTTTGATTCCACCACATGAAAGCAACATAATTAGCTTTTTAAAAACACACGTCTTAAACCATGCACCGAGAAATTACGTACCAAAATAATTGATTAGTATCGACTATTTAATGACTATGTACTATACACAGATCATATAGAAAACATTTTTTCTCCATTGATCCCGGAAATACCATGTGTTCTACGAAATAGGATCTCGAGGGAATTAATTTACATTTTTCCAAACCTTTAATCTCTAGTTATTTGTTATTCTGAACTCTCAAGGCAAGATGACCAAAACTAAGATATGAGTGAAAATAATTGACGCAGCCCATTTGTTAAAAATTAAACGTAGTTCCATATACTACATATATATGTTCATAAGACATCAAAGTCATGCCACAAGTTAACAACGTGCAATGAAATAAAGAAAAAAAAAAGTGGAGATTTTACATCAAGTTAGAGCGAGCTAGATTTAAATATGAAAATAAACCATCTTAAACCAATCGTGGGTTAAGAATTTTAAAAAATATTGTAAGCTACTGTCGTATTATGTAGTGGATATGTATGAATGAATAATTGGAATGGATCTTCTTGGCTTAGTATCCGCAACGTGGTTGGATCATGCATGTAGATGCTTCTTAATGTGAGTAAACTTTATATTTTAATCATTCTTTGTAATTAAATAATTTAGTTTGATATCGTAATCCTAGGCCTATTGATGAATATTCATATGTACGAAAGATATTTGAGATTTGATGCACTACTAGTCTCAATTTCTTTCTGGATAAGTTTTGTGTAATTTATAAATCATACAATCCTCAAAAATGCAACGACGTGGTTAGATGTTTCCTAGTTTCTTGCCAAGCTATTATTTGATGGGATCTCTTATTTAATTGATTGTGAATATTTATACTTTTGAAACCCAATAATTTGAAGATTACAATAACGTGTTCTTTGTCTAGGGATCGTGGACCGATCCACACAGCTAGCGTGCCTTAAATGTCCCTAAAACCTTATCCAATTTAATATCCAAAACTTTAAGATTCCCAAATCTTTTGAAAGATTCAAATAATTGAAGAGGAATCCCAAACCAAAACAAAATAAGATTCAAATAATTCAAATAAGTATCTGTGAGTTTTGTTTTGTTAATGACTGTAGCAAAAATATGGAATCGGATTTGAGAGTTCAAAACATGCAATATGTGATTTTGAATCCGTACGTGTGGTTACACATTGTATGGATAAGTTACTTACTAATCACCCCGAAACAAAACATACTAACCAAAAAAAAAAAAAAAAATTTTGAGAAAGCAGAAGAATCATTAGGTCACAAGGAAACATGATTGTTGGAAATTAGGTCGACCAAACCCTTGGATTAATAAGCCACTCAATAGATGTTCAACAAGTAATCTCAATACTAGAAGCAAACAACTCTATATCGCCAGCTAAACCTATTCAGCAAATGCTTACACTCGTTGAACCGATTATTATCAATACAGTATTTGGAACAACAAAATAGCACATTAATTGGTTGATACTGACTTTAGCCTACATATCCTCTCAGAATCTGAGGTAATATACCATGTGAATCTAGGTCTTCTTATATAAAAGAGCTCAGAGGAGTAATCTCATGTAGCACACCTAAGTTTAAGATTCCAAAGTATATACACTAAGTGGATTTCATGATATCAATTATATACATATATATATATATATATAGCTAGGAACTAGTGGTGATCAAAGCAACCAAGTAAAAAGTCAATACCATCACAAACTCAAGCCTATGAAAATCTCAGCTTTTCTGATTATGTCAAAAAGACCTGAAGAAGCAACCATCGAATCCGACGATGGTCGTAACGTTCTCGTTCATCATCAGATTCAGTGACGTGTTTGTGAAGTTCCAAATATACTTCAAAACAACGTTGTTTTTGGTTTCTTTACGTTACACTACCACGACGTCGTTTCATGTTTTCTATAAGTGAATAAATAAATGCAACCATTGATAAAATATTTTATAAAAACGATGCCCTCACGCAGGATCGAACTACGGACCTTCAGTTTACAAGACTGACGCTCTACCACTGAGCTATAAGGGCATCTTTGCTCCTTTAGTTACCATGTGTAAAAAATTCAAACATTCGATTTACATTTCGGGGAAAATTCACAAAGATAAATAAATATGGAATGAAAAACTAAAATATGCGGAAATTGTGGGAAATTCTGTAAGAAAGGAAATAAATTTATAAAGAATTTGGGCCAAACTGAAACAGAAAAAAGGTATGGGGTAAGTAATAAAACATGACAGAAATAAGTGATCAACATTGCAAATACTCTCTTTAGCTCGTTGCGTGCAATTTCCGCTATTATGTGCATTCGCCATCACTTCTCTCTCTCTCTATCTCAATTCTCACTCTGCTCTTGCCTCCATTGAATTGAACCTTACTCTCTCTTCTCACCGGAAGCTTTCTCTCACATAAAGATGAAGGTTCTCTCTCTCTCTC